CATATTTGCATATTATTCAAATTTATTTGCATATTATTTGTATACCACTTGCATGTCATTTGAATATCATTTGAATAGCTTTTGAACTTCATTTGCATATTATTTGTATCATTTGAATACATTTGCATATTTGTTTAATTCATCCTATTTTTCATTTCCAGGCAATCAAATATTTACATGACAATCGTGTGATACATCGAGACATCAAAGGTCACAATGTCTTGATGACAGCGGATGCACAAATAAAACTAATTGATTTTGGTAAGATTCCTTATATATATTGAAATAAAATAAAAAATAAAACTCAATGGATGGTGGCGTAAGTAATACTGTAAAATCCGTATTAGTAGCCTCATACCTGATAGAAGCCACACTCATTTTAATTGAGAACCAAAAATTAATTATTTCTTATTTCTTATGTTGTCTTCACATATTAACTCTTCTGTGATTTTTTTGGCTGGGACAATTACGATCAAACTTGGCAGGCAGGCCACACAAACTTTGAATAGCTTTGTGCCAAATTAATCTTCTCCTACCAGTCATGTGGTTAAAACCTCAGACATATCTCATTCTACTCAGCTTGAGTGTGTGCACAAAGTTACCATTTGTTTTTTATATCTTTTTCCATTGCTGAGAAATTTGACCTCGAATTTTGGGGTATTTTTTGTCAGGAATGTTTTTTAACATTTCTGTGATTTCTTTGGGGGGTATGAGCCAATATTGGTCCAACTTGATGACAGGCAGGTCACATCTGCACTTTAGAAAGGTGGACAAATTTGAAAAATAATAGTTCTGTCCTCCTGTTACCATGACAAAAACCAGAAACTTGATTTTTGGTGGTAGCTTTGCGCAAAATGTATCCTTGTACAAATCTTTCAGAATTCAGAGTCAGAATTTCAGACATTTCTCATTCTTATTTGCTTGAGTATGTGCCTGAAGTTATTATTCTGTTTTTGCTTTTACTGGATTGACACACACACAACATGCATTCAGTGCTATAGTCTAAATTGTTATTTACACTTGACTTCATTGCTCAAAATAGCCATGTTAATAAACCTCTATAGAACTCACTTTTTTGTGTGTCTGTTCAAAGCTGATAGGCTGGTCACATGTGCACTCTAGTTGGTGGACAAATTTTGAAAAAAAAAATTCTGTCCTACCATAGCAACACCCAAATTTTTTTTTTGTGAGCGGAGCGAATCACTAATCGTCAATCAGCCTAGAAGCTTCTTTTAATAGAAGCGACTGCTTCTACAGTATTTGCAGCATTGCTTGAGTAATGATTATGTTCATTGGTAATCCCTGCAATTTTTCTTCACTTGAATTGAGTTCTAAGAGAAGATTATGTGAACTCAACTTAACATTCAAAGAATTAGAATTAGTGGATTCATTCAAAGTTCAAGTGATCTTTCTTCTGTTTTCTTGCTATAAACATGTTTGAATGTATCTACATATGAAACTATTTCACTATAGGTGTATCAGCACAACTTCGTAGAACAATGATGAGACGAAACACATCTGTTGGTACGCCATTTTGGATGGCGCCAGAAGTCATTGCTTGTGAACAACAGATAGATTACACGTACGATAACCGATGCGATATATGGTCACTTGGAATCACGGCCATAGAACTTGGTGATGGTGATCCACCTCTTTCTGAACTACACCCCATGAGGGCGCTCATCAAAATTCCAAGGTGATTTCTTAAGATAAACATTATT